TATGTCACAAGTTGGAGGATGGGAGTGTGTCAGAGGGGCAAGGCCGGCCAGAGCCCGCTATCCTGGACATTTGTTCATGTTATGGACTGAACTTGATTTCAAACACAGGGACTAAGCAATTTCACTGAGGCCCTACTCAGAGCCCCCACAGACAGTCATCTGCATACACATGCTCTCAGCTGACTCCCTTGCATGCTGAGCCCTCTTCATGAAGACCCAGACAAAACTCTGGACTCTAATGTCCCCTGTGGGTGGTGACAGGAGTAGTAAAAAATCATCCTAAACCCCAGGTGCTCTGCACATGTCTCGAAACTTCACCTTGATCCTGCAAGGTAGCTTTTGTTATATCCTCCCCCACCTCCCACTGCTTTGTAGATGACGGAAATGGGGCTCAGAAAAGCCAAGTGACTGGCCCTAGGCCACACAGCTCTTGCATGGCAGAGCTTGGCTGGGACCCGGTCCCCATATGCCAAGCTCACACTTCATTCCTTTCACCAGGCTGCCTTTCCCATTTCTCTCCTAGCACCCAGCATCTAGGAATGTTCCATAGGTCAACAGATGAGCCTGTATATATGGGTTTTCTCTCGTACATGAGCAGAGCAGGCCCCAGCTGCCCTTTCTCCAAACCCACCCTGAGCTGTGATCTCCAGGCAGGCTCAGAAAATCGCAGACCCCTTTGCCTCCTCCACAGCCAAAACCAGCACCAGCTTGAATTCCCTGGGCTCCAGCCTCAGTTTCCCCTCTCACGGGCCGACACACCTGAGCAAGGCTCTGCCACCACTTGAGGAGACCAGCAGCCCCTGTGGGGCTCCTGCCCTAGGTCTGACCCTCACTCTGGAAGCCTCTGGGGTGCAGCTGCCTCCATCCTCCCCAATTCCTGCGAAAACGTCAGGCCTGGCCCTGCGCCCCGGCTGCCCCCTCTCCCCGCAGCCCCCTGGGAGCCCAGGCTTTGCTTGAGGGCAGCGAGTGAAGCCGGCTGTAACAGAGAAACCTCGGGCTCCTCTTTAGAAGTCCCGGGAGGAGGCAGATCTGAGGAAAGGCTGCCGAGAAGGCGCCTGCAGCAATGTCAGCTTGAGAACAACCGGGCTGACAGGATGCTGAGCGGGGGGATTAAGGCCGGGATCAGGGAAACCAGGGAATGAAGGCAAGTTCCCTGCTCCCCATGCTGCCAAGATGATGCTGGGTTTGTCTTCTTGTTTATTCTCACTCTGGGAAGGTGGGTGGGGAGGGAAATGGGCTGGGGTCCTGCGGGGAGGTGGGGGGAAAGACAGAGGAGGGAGGAGAAGGGCAGGTAGCTGGGTGGAGGGCGGTGGAGGGCAGAGGATGCCAGGCCTCCTCCAGCTCTCAAGGGCTCAGCGGGGGCTGGCACATGCTGGCGGGTGGGGAGGGCTCGGCTGGGACCCTTCCCCAGAGACTGTCTCCAGCGGGCCGGCCAACCCCCCTGGGAACCGTCCCCCCATTGCAGAGCCTGTCTTGAGTGTTGGTGGCAGGACCAGTGAGGACAGAATCGACAAGGACAACATGGCAGATGCCAGACGCCCTCTGGATAGGGAGTGAACCTGTCTCCATCTGCCTACAAATGCAAGATCCCCTCTTTTGGGGAAAGGCCATCACCCTGACCTTCCTAGTCATCCAAATGTCACGAGAGCCCAGTGAAATGGGCTTCTGAATTGCAGGTCAGCCAGCGTGACAGAATTCCAGTGAAACCTCAAACGCTTGCATTGTCACGGGTGGGCTGGTTGAGAGTGTGGCTTCTGGTCTCAGACTGCCTGGGTTCAGATTCCGACTCTGCCACCCATTTGCTGTGTGGCTTTGGTCAAGTCACCTGACCTCTGTATGCCAGAGTGGAAGAAAATAGTAGCAACCCCTCCTAAGCTTGTTAAGGAGAGGGAGGGAACACGTGAAAAGTAGTTGGAGTAGGGCCTGCCACAGAGGATGTAAGCCGGGAGGGTAGTTTGGTTACCAGGCGGCGGGAAGGAGTAAGAGTAGCAGCGGGAAGTTAACCGCCTGAAAACATCCCAGAGGAAGGGGGCATGGAATCTGATTTTGGAAACTGAGCCTTGGCAGGGGGGAAGGCAGGAGTTAGGGATGAGGGACGAAGATCCCGGAGATCCTGTTTACCAGGTGAGTGTGGGTTTAAGGGATTTAAGGGTATGTCTGGGAGGAGGAAAGGATGCATTTCCCCGGAGCCCCACTCCCAGCCAATTTTTCTCCAAAGTTCCCTGCTCTAACTAGGGGTGGCATGACTACCCTCGCCCAGTCCAGCCAAGGGCAAGCCAAGGATACAAAGACCGTGAAAAGATGCACTTTATCGTGGTGACCTTCCCAGAATGGAGCTTATTCCAGAAATCCAAGCAATTCAAACTTGGCACCCAAGTTCTCTGGACCCAGTGGGGGATGAGGCAGGAGAGAAAGGTGCAGAGGCTACAAATCTGGAGGTAGATGGCTCTGCCACTGACCAGCTGTGTGACTTGGCACTAGTCAATTAGCCTCTCTGGGCCTCGGTTGCCTGGTCTGCAGAACGGGATTAAGATTCACAGAGGAACCAAGGAGGGGTCATTCCTTATCTCCAGGGTTATATGCTTTAGGACCTGCTTAGCCTGGCCCACCGCACAGTCCCTCCTGGGGGGCCTCAGTCCCTCACCCCATCTCTGGGCAGGGTAGACAGGTGGACAGGGTAGGAGTGGGGAAGGCTCTGGGTGGGAGTGAGAGCCTGGGTGGGGTACTGGTAATTGAGGAAAGGGTCTGCTGAGTCTGATTTCTTGGGAAAAGCACCTGGGCCAGGGGGCCTAGTCTCAGTGTGTGGGGAGCTCCTGCCTGGGAATTTCTACCTCCCCGGGACAGGTTTCTGGAAAAACTAATTTCAAAAATACATCTTTTTTTTTTTTTAAACTGTCCGTAAAAGTTACATCTATTTATTGTAGAAAATTTGGAAAATACAGAAATATACAAAAAAGGAGATAGAGTTCAGCCATAATTCCACCGCTCAGAGACAACTATGGGAGGACTTTACTGTATCTTCTAGTTTAAGTACACACTCATGTTTACACACACATATATAATTTTATTACAGCATAACAGGCTTAATGTATATATATCTCAAAAATTTAGAACCAGGATCATGGAATTGTGACACATTACTGTTTCGTAAACTGGCTTTTTGGTTAAGCAAAATATGGAGAACCTTGTCCCCAGGTCATTAAATATTCTTCTCCAACATAATTTGAAATGACTGTAGAGTGCTCCATCCTTTGGGTGGGTCATAAGATGTGTACAGTTGTCCCCCCTTGTCCTCAGGAGATATGTTCCGAGACCCCCAGTGGATGCCTGAAACCGTGAATAGTACCAAATCCTATATATATATATTATGTTTTTTCCTATACATATACACCGATGATAAAGTTTAATTTATAAGTTGGGCACGGTAAGAGATTAATAGCAATAACTAATAGTAAAATAGGAAACTTATAACAATAACTGTAATAAAAGTTATGTGAATATGGTCTCTCTCTCAAAATATCTTACTATTCTGTACTCACCCCTCTTCTTGTGATGAGTGAGATGATAAAATGCCCACGTGATGAGATGAAGTGAGGGGAATGACGGGGACAGTGTAGCATTAGGCTACTACTTACCTTCGACGATATGTCAGAAGGAGGATCATCTACTTCCAGACCGAGGTTGACCACAGGTAACTGAAACCATGGGAAGTGAAACCACGGATAAAGGGGAGCTCCTGTACTTTTATGAGTCCTCAATTATTGGTCATCCAGAGTGTTTCTAGATTTTCTATTCTATTCTTTTCTATTCTATTCTATTCTATTCTATTCTATTCTATTCTATTCTATTCTAAACTACACTGTGATGAACATTCCTGTAGAGATCTGTGTGTGCACGTGTGTGTGTGTGTGTGTGTGTGTGTGTGTGGCTGACTTTGCAATGTTTGTTTATGTGTCTGTCTTCCCACCGCCCCCACCCCAACCGCCCCACCTTCACTTGGAGGGTGAGACTTTCTAGAGCAGACTCTGCTCCCAATTCCTTAGCTTGGTCCCTGGTTCACTGTAGACATCCAGTAATTGTTGAGTTGCATTGCATTTCTGAAGCCTGTGCTGTGGAGTGTGGGACTGGATCAGTGGGCTGATCAGGGAGGAGCCCACCTTCCCTACTAGAACCCCCGGGGGTCCCCGTGCCCCTCTGTTGGGCCTGCCAAGTTCTCCTAGGAAAAGGACATTCCCAAGCCCAGTGCCACTGGCTGTCCTGGAGGCACATGGAAATGCCTCCCTTTCTCTCCTATCTTCCTGGTAGCAAACCAACCATCCTCACCTCTCCCTGCCAGGACCTTCCCCTGACATCCCCCCCATCTCTGACTCATTTGAGCTCTTTTGTTGTGTCTTCAAGCTGAAGGCCCAGCTGACAGAGCCCTTTCACCTGCTCATTACTGCGGGCTCCCCATGAAGCAGCCCCCTCTCCGGCCTCCCTTTCTGACAGCACAGCCCACCCGGCCCCTGGCAAGTGCCACTCGGCACACCTCAGCCCTGCCCCCAGCTCTGCCCGCCACCTCCCGTTGCACTGTGGCACCCAGGAGTCTTTGTCTCTTCCTCCCGGGGCTCTGGGCACAGGCTGGCCTTCCTCCTAATACAGATTTGTAGAATCATGGATTTGGGAGCTGAGATCCAGCTTCTAGTTTTTCAATGGGTCTTACCAAAAAAAGAGAGGAGAGAGAGAGAGAGAGGTAAGAGACCAAAATCGAGAGGTAAAACTTCCTAATGGAATGTCCCCCTCTCAAGCATCCATGCTCCCAACCTCCTGCAGCTTGCTTTCTTCTTTTTATCTTCTCTTTCCCTCTGCTACCTCTCCCTCTCCCCCCTCTCCTTCCCTTCCCTCTCTCTCTCTCCCTCTCTCCTCTCTTTCAGCCCTGACACACTCTCCCACCCTCCTGTCCTCATTTCCCCTCCTCTCCCCTTCTTTTTCAAGTTTTTTTTTTTCTTTTAACTTTCAAGGTCATTCCGGACTCCTGCCGCAGCCAGTCCCTCGGTGAGACGGGAGCGCCATTGGCGTCCGTGGCCCCTGTTTCCGTGGCAACCCAGTAACCATTAATTTTCAATTAAAGGAGACAAAAAGCTCCATGACAGCTCCAGGTCTGCCGAAGATGTCAAGAATCTGTATTAATATACAGCAAGAGAGCATAATTGTGTGTCCATCTTCCAGAGCAGCGAAAAATGGAGGGATAATTACCAGCTCGAAAGCCACTCTGTAATTTACTTCTTACTGTCACCACAGCCCTACACATTAGCATAAATTAAAAGCAGAGTTTATTGTTATCAAAGTGCATTGATATCGCCAGACCCGCTTTCTTCCCTTTAACTGTTTGTCGTGGGTGAGTGACTCCCCAGCTCCCCCCAGGTCTCCCTGGGAGGGCGGGGAGAAGCGCCAGGGCAGGGGGGGCTGGATCTGGAAGGTCTCTGCGGTCCCCGCTACCGGCCATGGGAGCAGCCAGGGACGAGGGTCAGGCCTTTCGCCCATCTGAAGCGGCCTGGTGGGGGGCGGGGTGGGCAGGGGCTTGGATATTCATTCACCTTCCACCTGTGAGTGCTTTGTTTTGCCTCCAGCTCCTTCCAGAGGGAGCTGCCGCCCGTCTTGGAGTCACCCTTCAGCACCTCGTATAGTGTGGGGCAGGTGGGTTCTCAAAGCCCTGCCCCCAGCTCTGCCCGCCACCTCCCGTTGCACTGTGTGTGAATGTGCAGGGGTCTCCTCTCCTAGCTGGATGTCAGCAGGGGGCTGTCCCACTTTCCTAGGTCAGAGTGGCGATGCTCCTGGCTCTGGTCCAGTTCCTGCTGGCCACCCAGGCCCCTGGGTTCCCAGGGTGGTCCCTCTGTGTCCCCCTTCCCCTTGCTGTTTGACCATCCCCACCACCCCGTCTCCCTGCCCCGGTCCTGCCACGCTGCAGACTCACCTCCAAGTAGTTGGAGCGCCAAGTGTCTCGCTGTCAGGGTGCCAGTGACAACCACAGAAATCATGAATTTCCGTGAATGGGGGATGCGGGGTTTTCTTGTATTCTATCCAGAGAGAGCTGTCCTTCAGAGGGGAATTTAGTGTAATTACCCTTAAGGGAGCGATCCTTACACAGTCAGTCACAACACTGACCTCCTGGCTGAGATCTGACAGCAAAATTACAGGCTGTGTACTCAACAGAAGGGGCATCCTCCTTTTGGGGTGGGGGGAGGCGGGAAGGAAGGAGGAGGGAAAGGAGATGCAGAGGCTTTGAAAAGAAAAGTGCTGGCTTCCAGCTGCCAGGCAAGCAGGCCCTCCTTGGCAGGGCGACCACGGGGCCGGGAGAGGTGCACAGAGATCCCCATGCCGCTTCAGCTAGTTGGTTGGTGAGGCCAGGCTGAGGACTGGCCAAGGCTGGCACTCCGGCAATCTTTGAGCCATGGCCTGTGATCTGAGCTGTTACTGTAGGTAGGGTTCGGAGGGCACTAGGAACTATTTGATAAACTACTCAGGCATGTTTTCCCAAACGTATCTGTCCTTCTGTCTCTCCCACGGTGTCTGAAATTCCACCGCCCCGCATCTTTGAGTTAACACATCCTAGACTCCGTTAAGCTGCACCTGGCTTACCTGGTGGGACTAACATGCTAATCTGGGACCATTCCAAATTCAGCATGGACTTAGCTATCAGACCTGCTGGCCTGTCCCATGGCAGAACCCTAAGGACACGGGGTCAGGCAAATTTCCATAAGGTAATAGAGAAAGTCTATTTCTCTACTTTGGTGTGTGGGCAGATATTGATGGGCCCTGGAGCCCGGGAAGGAATGGAAGTAAATCCCCCAATCTCACAGCTGGGAGGGACCTTAAAAGCAGCAGGTCCAAAATCCTCCCAGAGCAGGTGTCTCCTCTGCTCAAACTCTACCCAAACCCCAGCCCCCTGGGCTCACGCAATTCCTACCAGCAAGAGCTTCCTCATTCCAAGGAGGCCAGCTGTGCCAGGAGACAGCACTGGCCACTGGAAGACCCCTCCTGAATGTAAGATTCCCCCAAACTCCTACCTTGTCCTTTGGGGCCCAGGAACAAATCTGAACTTTCTCCAGTGGGACAGCCTTTCAGTTACATGAAAACAATGCTCAGCTGTCCAATAAGTTCTCCTCCAATTCTGGGACCTGGTGAGCCCGTCAACCATCCAGCTCACCTTCCCAATGGAAGAGCCAAAAAGGATTCTAAAAGGACGAGGGAGGGCCCCAAACACAACTCCAGCATTTATTGAGCATCTACTATGTTCTAGGCACAAGCCCCCACCATGCCTCCTTCCATCCCCCCAGCTGTCCAGGGAGAGGGGATATATTACTGCCATCTTGCTAAGAGGAAAGAAAGACCCACGAAGCTACAAGCCACTTGCCCCAGCTGACCCCAGATGACCCGGTAGATAAGAAGCAGCATCGGATTCGGAGTTCAGACTCCCTAGCCCAGCTGAGGGCTTTCCTTGAGAATCCACTGGGTTTGGGGAATGAGCTCTGTCATTGGTCTGCCTGTCTCTGCACCTTCAAGATGCTTTGCTCCACAGACACTTTCTCTCCTCTCTACTTGGCAGAGAGAAGAAATTCCAGGGGAAACCCAGCTCGAGTCCTGCTTACTCCTTGGAAGCTCCCTGCTCTCAGTACTTGCTTCGGTGACAACAAAGACCACATCGGCTAGTACTTACTGACTGCAGCGCTGTGCTTCTGGGCTTGCATGTGTGCCCTAACAGAGGGCATTTCCTCCCGTTCCCTGGGCATTTGCCCTGGCTGCCAGTTCCCCCAGCCCCCTCGCCCCTCAGACTTCTGCACATCCTTCAAGGCCACCTTCTCAGCCAGGCCAAACCTGACCAGCCTTTCCCAGTCCCTCGTGCCCTGTTCCATTTCTTTCCAGAGCTCCCATCACCTAATGTAGTAATAATTCGGTCATCCTGCTTGCTGATGATTTCCCTCTGCTTTAGGCTTCCAAAGGACAGAGACTTTGTTTGTTTTGTTTGTTGTTGGATCCCCAGCCCTTTGAACAGTGTCTGGTATGGAGCAGGTGCTTAACACACACCTTTGTCAATCCCTGGGAGGCCGGTGTGCTATTTTCACAACACAGAGGAACCAGGGCTCGAGGTAGGGGTTAGGTGGCTTGTCCAAGGTCACAGAGCTGGGAGTACCCGGAGTCAAGCTCTTGTTTGGTTTGGGCTGCTGACTAGGGAGCCTTGGGGGGTGGGCCCTGAGCCAGTGGCCTGAACTTTGAGTTAGGGGGCTCCCTGGGGGGGTTTCTACCTGCTCTCCAACCAGCAGGTCCTTCTGGGTAGCTCCCTCGGCCCTTTCCCTCCCTGCAGTTCCTTTCAGACCCCCTTGTCTACCCTGAGGCCCGGAGGGGCCCGCAGGTGCGGCCCAGCTCAGCTCCCTCCTCTGAGGCTTAGTCCCAGCCTGGGCTGGAGTCCACACCCAGGGCCCTGGGTGCCCCTGGGAGGCCCCCACACTGGTCTCTGAGTGGCTCTTCTCCCTCAGATGTGAATCCGGGCCCCAGAGTGGCCACACAGAACATACATCTTAAACAAACACTTCTCCTTGCTGTTTATCTCCCTGGCCTTTAAACAAACTCTTTCAAAGGTTTCTGCTGATAGGAGAGATTTACTGAAAACCATTCCTTGCTTTAAAAGCCCTGGGTTTATGCTGCCGGGGTGGGGGCAGTGGGGCTTTCAAGCCTGGGGTTTCTCTGCCTCTGGACCACATGTTTATCCTCCAGGCCCTGATAGAGGAGCAACACAGACGAATCTTTATGGAAAAGAAAATAAGAAAAGCAGGAAAGGGGAGGGGTGGAGGCTGGGGGAGAAGTTTGGTTCTTGTCATTGACTCCATGGGCCGTGGCAGGTCGAATGCCTCAGCGCCCACCACACTGCGGCCATGGGGGCCGGGCGCCGTGCCTGGGAAGGGCGCGGCTCCCTTGAACTTTGGACCGAAGGCCTTTGGGCAGGTGAGCCTCTTCTTGGGCCCCCACCCCAGACACACGCCAGAGTGGGCCTCTCCCAGCCAGGGGGTGGGGGTGGGGAGCAGGGCAGCCGTCACATGGCAATATCTACTGCCTTCAACCAACACTTAGGAAGTACCGGGTGGGTGCAAGGACCTGGGGTACCGCGTTAAGTAATCGTTAACATTGACTTACATTACTTAAGTTAATATTTCTGCAGGCGCAGCATTGCTCTGAACCACTTACATGAATTAACTCATTTAATACAACCCCAGAAGTAGATTCTATAATTTTCCCAGTTTTGCAGATGGGGGAATCAAGGCACAGAAAGATTACCGGGTCACACCCCAGAGGTTTTGGTTAAATTGAGATACACCTGGGGCGCCTGGGTGGCTCAGTCGGTTAAGCGTCTGACTCTTGATTTCAGCTCAGGTCATGATCTCAGGCTTGTGAGATTGAGCCCCGTGTTGGGCTCCACGCTCAGTGGGGAGTCTGCTTGGGATTCTCTCTCTCCCTGTGCCTCTCCCCCTACTTAAAACATTAAAAAAAAATTGAGATACACCCTGGGTGTCCTATTCTAAGTTGCATCCCGAGTGGAGAACTACTGCCATAGAGATGGACATTCTTGGGCACCTGGGTGGCTTAGTCGGTTAAGTGTCTGCCTTCGGCTCAGGTCATCATCCTGGAGTCCCGGGGATCGAGCCCCACGTCAGGCTCCCTGCTCAGCGGGGAGTCTGTTTCTCCCTCTCCCTGAGCTCCTGCTCATGCTCACACTCTCTCTGTGTCTCTCTCTCTCAAATAAAAGAAATAAGACCTTAAAAAAAAAAAAGAGGTTGGCATTCTTGTTGTCCCCGCCTTGTCCTCCTGATAATACAGTATGTCATCAATTCTAAGGTGCACCCATCTCTGAAATCTGAGGTGTGTCTCACAATCCACTGACGGCACTATTTCTTTCTTAGTGGAACATAAAATGATGTTGCACCTTGCAATCTTAAGTTCAAGGAAATATAATAGTACAGAAATACCTCCCCCCTGTGTGGCCTGGGCTGGGTGGCTTGCACACACTACGTCATTGAATCTATTTCCCAGAGCTTTGAGCTAAGTCACATGAGCATCTCTGATGAGAAAACAGAGGCACCAAGAACTTAGTAACTTGCTCAAGACCACCCACTTACAGAGCAGGAGTGGGAAGAGGCAGGATTTGAACCTACAGTTGAATGGCTTCATATTTTTGCCTCACCCTTGAAAGGTGCTTTACACTTTTCAAGCTGTCTTCACACTTCCTTTGTCCATTTGGGAAGACTGTTGAAGTTCGGAAAGGTTAAGGGACCTGTTCTAAGTTGCACACACCTGACTCC